ATGGTTTCCCAAAAAAAGGGGTTCAAAATCCAGGGGCCTATCAGGCAAGAGGATAATATTTGAATATAAATTTATATATAGTATTTCTAAAATAAGTGGAGATCTAAGGAAGGTGATGTGTGGCTTATATTTTATTTAGAAATTTTATAAATATTATCAGTAAATGTCAACCAAGTCTTTGAAGATATAATATAAATAGAATATATATTTGAATAAATAGAGAGTAATTTTATTGGGAACATAATTTCCAGACATTTAAAAACAACAATTCAATTCGATTTCTTGAAGCTTGATTTCCCTTAAATATATATATTTACTTTAACGTCTAAAGTAACTATTATTATTTGAGGAAACAACTTTTATTTCTTAATAGTTTCCTTGGTTTATTTTTCTCTGTTCTTAATAAAAGTTTCAGCAGAGAATCGATCTGTCGACTTGAGTGAACCAAACCGCTTTACCGCCGGAAAGGTCAAAGTTTGCTCACTGCCCAAATCCGGGTTTATTTTTTCGTTTGTTTTTCCGAGCTGCGCTAATGCTAACAATGTTAATTAGCGACTCCCGCCTTTTGTTTTAATTGTGCTGCACGGCACAGAGATTTTCCGCGGGGATGCTAAACGGGAGCTGCCACGAAGGACGAAGGATGAAGAATGAAGGATGAGGGTTAGTTGCTGGCGGCCAAGTTAATTGCATTTCTCGCGGAAGAATGCCTTTGGCCTCCGGCGCCGCCCGCTGCGTCAACTGGCAACTGTTGTTGGCACAACACAAATCATAGGGATACATAGGGATATATGGTCCTGTTCCGTGGTCCTGGTCTCGGTCCTGGTCCTGTTCCTGTTCCTAGTCCGTGGTCCCAGGCAAAGAAGCTCTAATAAGGTTAGCACTTCACTGGAGAACTATGCAGGGGAAAAGGGGTGAGGCGCTGTGAATTCGATTAAAATTACATTTTTCACAGCAAGGAACAGGACACGCAGCGTGAATCCTTTTGATTGTTGCTCGCATTTGCAACTTGTGCAACGCATTTAATTTTATTTCATTTCATTCGACGAGCTTCAGTCGCCAATCGCCCCGCGAGCTCCGCTTGCTTTTTTTTTGTGTGCCCTCCTTTATGTTCCCATTTGACAACCCTTCGCAGGACGAACCGCGCCACAGGACACTCGCTTCCAGTCACTCGTCCCGGCTCGGTCGAGGATCGGGGCAGCAGGGACAGAGTCCGGGGATCAGGGCAGGAAGCAAAGCCGGCCACGTTGTGGGCTCACGTACCCGGCCACAAGCGAGGTCTACCAGAGCAACCCCGAAGTCAGGAGCAGTCATCATGCACTGAGCGAATAAAGGGGGTGACAAGTAAAATTTAGAAAGTGAAAATTAAAAGAAGAAAAATTTGAATTTTCCAAATAGTTATTGGATATAATATATAATAGATAATTTAAGAAAATTATCAGGAAAGGTCTGGTTAATTTTATTAATGCTGAAAAGTATCAGTTTTAAAAAGGTTTATGATTTTTTACCTTGGAAATAAATATAAAAAAATATATATTCAATTCAAAAAAGTTTCAAGCTTAACTCTTCTTTAATTATATATATTAAATAATATTTAATTGAGTTTAACATCTGAAAGGTATTTAAACAGAATTACTATTTTTCTTTGTACCCTTAGTTATGGGAACTATTTTTATTTCGTAAATGCAATTTTATTCACTTTTATGTATAACATTTAATATTTCATTTCTATTTATTATTAATGTTTATATAATATATTAAATTCTCTATAAAAGTATGACAATTTTCTTTAACAACCTTTTCATAAACTATATAAATGCTCACTTTTCTTTGAATTTAAATATATTACAAATAAATCATCAGTAATTTTATAAAATATTTTTTTTATTTTTAAATGTATTATGCTGGCTTTTTACATCTACTCCTCTTTTTCGGACAGTGCATCGGGTCGTCCTTAGAGTCGTCGCCTTGCTTGTGTGTCGTCGTCATCAAAAAGGACACTTGACGAGTACAACAAAAGCCGATGTTGTGCTGCCACCGTTTGCTATTTTATTTCTATTCGCCTCATTCATTCATTTGCAGCTTTTAGCGCTGCCTTTTGTCCGTGTCGCTGTTTTTTAGCTGTCTCTTTCTTTGGCCCGCAGGCGCTCTCTTTCGCTCCCACTGGGCGATGGATGAGCGAATGAATGAGCTCCTCGCATAACGCTCGGCCGCTGTGCGCCTGATTATCCTTTCAATTAAATTGTAGCGTAACATTTTCCACCTCGCCGAGTCCTGCCGAAGGAGGCGGGAAGTGTAAGTGGAACAACTGCCCTTTTTTCCAAGTGTGAATGCAACCGAATGTGAATGTGAGTGTGACTATGAGTGTGACTGCAAATGTGAATATGAATATGAGTGACTGCACGAATGACTGAATGCTGCTGAGTGCGGCTGTTGATTTTGCTAATGGCCCCAGGACCTTCGACCTCAGCCAGGAAATTCGGGGCATAAGTTACACGAGATTTTCTGAGAGGCTCTCCATCGAGGGAATCTCAAGTTGGAAATTGAAGTCCTTTCTTGTTTTTTTAGGGAAATGCAATGAACATAGTTTTTGAAGAATTTGAAAAATTACAACTTGAATCATTCGTAGATCAAGGGAAATTAAAAAGATTGTTTTGTTTTAAACACTTTATTGAAGATTAAAAGAACTAAGCATAAAGTTATCCAGTGAAAATAGAAAGTATATATTATTTTAGATCCTTTATTAAAGCTTAAATAAAACAAGTATTATCTTATCTAAAAGAAGTTACTTACTACAGAGCTAATTAGATATTTAGTAATGTATTTATTCTAGTTGTTTTATAAATTCATTTTTCACCCATTTTACTAGCAGAACTTTGCTGCTTATTAAAATGTGTTTTGTATATATTATCCTTTCATGTTATTATTCAAATAGAATATACAATAAACATATCAATTGGGAGACCTTATATCCCACTCATTCTGGAAGCTCAGCTGTGAATCCGATTGTGAATCCAATTCTAATACCAATTCCGTATCCGAATCCGATTTCAATTCCAAGCCAGGAGCTGTGCCCAGCTTTGGCCTGGGGCTAAATGGGATTTTATTTGGGCATCGCTGCATAATAGATGATATGATATAATATGATTTGCCTACACAAAACGAAAATCAACGCCGACGGCCACACACCGCCCCTCTACCTCCATGGATCCGCATGACAATCAACTTGTTCATAATACATGAGTTTTTTGAGCTGGGGAGTTTCTGTTTCTGTTACTGAATTTTTATTCCATTTTTTTTCTCGTATTTTGTATTTGAAACTTTGAAACGACGGGGACTGGGCTGGCTGGTGTCGGCAATCAGTCAAATGTAATAATAAATAAATAAATAAATCAGAAGCGGGGAGCTGAAACAACGGCACTCGGTGTTAATGGCAACACAAAAGGAGCAGTTCGGATTAGAAATCACAAATGGAGAATCGAAATCAAAAAACTGCCAGATTTGATTGTATTTATTTATTCCTCTTTTTATTTATTTACTTTTTTTTTGTATTATTATTTTTTTTGGGTCTGTGCTGATCCCCGGGCAACTCTTTTTTCGGTGCTCTAAAGTTTCGCTAGCAATGGAAAATGATTATTTATCAGGAGCTAAGCCCAAACAGCTGCGGATTATTTGTGGATGGAATTAAAATTAATTTTTCATTAATTTAATGGCGATATGCAACTAGGAAACTAGAGCTAAATAGTTGGGGTTCTTAGATAAATATATCAATTAATACAAGCTTACTCAGGGAGAGAGTTCTTACATTTTTTCCATTAAATTTTAAATAGAATTCTCTCTGCATTAAATCCAAACTCAATGTTAGTGTTTTTGTTCCCCTCCCTGACATCATATCAGCCGTGAACACCGAATGAGTTGGCAAATTGCTGAGTGTCCTGTCCGCTTGCCAAAATGTTCGAGGACCTCATTTGGTAGTGCGAAATGCCAAAAGAGTTTGGCAAATACTGATGACTGGCGGCAGCTAACTAATGAAAGGCACAGTGGCTCCACCGCAAAGCCACAGTCCAGCGATTCGGTCCCTGCTCGACCAGGCTCCACTGTATTCCTTTAGTTTTTTTTATGCCGGTGGAACTTTGCATTGATTTGACAGCCAAACAGGCAAATAAACAGGCTGGCAAACAAGCAAGCGAGCGAGTCAACAAAGGCGCTGCATTCGACACTTTTTTGTCGAGTGTGCTTTTCCGCTTAGCAAAGAGGGAAAAACAGGGAAAACAGGGAAAACTGAAACGAAAATTTCCAAGAAAAAAAATGTGGTACGGTATCCTCCTCCTTCTCCTCCTGTTGAACCTGAAAGGTAGGCCTATCCTGGACCAGATCTAAGGGTCGGCTGCCCGCCTTTTGTCATGTGATATGTGATATGCGATTTGCTGTTTGCTTTCCATCACCTTTCGCCTCCGGAATTCAATCATTGGTAATTACATCGCATGTAAATCGTATCATCCTTTCGGATCTGCGAAGGCGAGAGCCCCGATCATTGAAGACCAGGAAGTTGCCGCCGAATGGGATCTCCACTCCCAGAGAGAGATGGCTATCAACCGGCTCAGTAATGTCCATTGATTGCGATTTGCGATTACGTTGCATTACGTTGCCTAATATTGCGAGTACCCCAAAGGCCGGATGTCGCAGCCGGATGGCACCTGAGTGATGATGACAGGTGTGCATTTCGGATTTGTAATCTCAACTCTTAGACAATCTACAAGCCAACTAAAAAGATTAATAATATGTTAAGAATAACAAACATAAATTAGCAAACATCACAAATCAAGCACGAACACTTTTTGTAGCTTTAAAATAATATTTAATTCTAACTTTGTCATTTCGAAATTTGAACTCACATCAAAATAAAATTCAGAGAGCCATAGTAACCCATGAACTTAGAATAAAACTAAATCTAACATTGCCAGCAACACAATCTCTAAAATTCATTACATTCAGTTGCTTCAACCAGTAAACATCGCAAGCTAAACAATATTTTCAAATATTCAAAGTATTACAACATTTTAACCTAAACCAAAGTGAAACTCAACCAATCCTGACTACAAGTTACAAAGTTTTATCTAAATTCCTAGCAAGTTCAATATTTACTACAAACTACAAAGTTTGTCAAAATTTAAAGCATTCAAAATCTAGTTCTTACTTCAAAATCTTATAGGTCTCGCTACAAGCTACAAGGTATTATCAAAATTAAAAGTATTATTACAACTAATATTTAGACCCTTAGCAACCCATGAACTTGGGATCAAACTGAATCAAGGAACATTCTTCAGAATTCATAGTAATAACTAATAAGGATTCAAAATCTTCTAGTTTTTGCTGCAAGCTTCAAGGTATTATCAAAATTGAAAGTATTATTACAACTAATATTTAGACCCTTAGCAATCCATGAACTTGGAATCAAATTGAATCAAGGAACATTCTTCAGAATTCAAAGTAATAACTAAATTTAACCAGTCTTTTCACAAATTTAAAATATTAATCAGTTATAGTTCGTCTCCAGTAGATCAGGATAATATATAGAAAGACCAAATCAGAATGGAACAAATTGATATAGTGCGCATTGAGGAGGCCATTACCTCATTTACTGTTCGAACGGACAGGACCAGGCGGCCGACAAATGGCTTACTGAGGCTAAGGCCAGTCCTTTGGCTTGGCAATTTTCCTTTCAACTGATGGAACCGGGCAAGAGCGCCGAGATTCAGTTCTTTGGAGCCAGTGTTCTTCACTCTAAGCTGAGGAAGGATTGGCATGAAGTTCCACAGGAGAGTCAAGAGCAACTGAAACAAAAGATCCTTTACGGGATTGGGATTTTTGCCGGAGGGCCGAAGATCGTCCTGAATCGACTGTGTATGTCCCTCGGGGCTTTCATAGTTCACATGCTCCTTGAGTCCCGTACTCAGCCCATCGAGGAGGTGACCAATACTTTCATTAATGATCAGATCCCCAACATTACTCGCGATGTGCAGAATGAGATCTTGGTGGAAATTCTGGAGGGTATTCCAGATGAGGCCCATTCCGTAGTTTCCAGTGTTAGCCGAGTAAAACTGCACGATATGGTCGGTAAATGCATTCCATTCGTTCTTCAGATATGCCATCACATTGACACTAGAAGAGCTGTTAAGTGCATCGGCACATGGATTCAAAACTATGGGTTTCCCATCGAGGGCAGCGTAAGCATTACACCCATTCTGTTGCAGGTGGTGCAAAAGTGCTATTGGCATCATGGCATCATGTCCGCGGAGGAGAATGAGTTGGCCGAATCCGCTTTAAAGACATTGTCCGCGATAATCATTCAGCCAAGCAACTCTCCCCAGATGGTGTTTGGACTTATTCAAATGTTCCTTGACGGACTGTCTGAAATAGTTAAAGCGGAATGGGAGGAAACCAAAAATGAGAACTTGGAAACGCTTATATACTCGTTATATGTGTCTTCCCTAGAACAGCACTCAACGTTGCTGATAAATGGAATCACTACCGATCCGGATGTCTTCAATTTATTGAAACGCATCGTCCACGAACTTATGTACTGCACCGAGAAACCCGGGAATTATCCCGTGGAAGAGAAGTGCAGCATCAAGGCTCTGCCCTTCTGGGACATACTCCAGGATAAGATCCGTTCCATTCCCAGCGGGGACAAAGGCTCCACTGCTTGGAGTTCATAAAGCCGGTGTACGCCCACCTCACCGGGGTTTTGGTGCGGAAAGCCGAGCATCCGGAACAGTGGAACACCGAGAATTTGGATAGTTTCAATATTTACCGTGAAGATATTGCCAAAGCGTTTACGTGGTGTTACAATGTGATAGAGGATAACATTCTTGAAATCCTGGCCGGACTGTTGGACGATGCAATTAATAAAAATCCAACGCGATGGACTGAAATAGAAGCGTGCATTTTCGCATTCAAGTGCTGCGCCAGCGTTGGCAGCGAGTCCTCTGTGCACATTCAAAGGTTTATGAATATAATGGCGGATATAACATATACGCAATATAATGTCAAGCTTTTGGGCACAGCAGTCGAGACAATTGGCTCCTTCGGCTACTGGATTAAAGCCAATACGTCATATATGCTGCCAGCGATCAATCTGTTGATAGGCGGGCTCAGCTCTTCAGTGTCGGTCGAGGCTACTCTCGGCCTCATGGAGCTCTTCAGCCACTGCCATATGCATATGACGCCGTATGTAGAGCCATTACTTAAGGCGATTTTAGTCGCTGGATACATGAATGAGTCCGATTTGGAGAATTTGGTGTCCACCATGGGTAGTGTGATGAGCCTGATGCCGGGCGAGGAGTTATACAATCAGTTGGAGGCTATTGTCGGTCCGTGGTTCGAGGAGCTGCGGGCCATTTGCCGGGAGCAGGAAAAAACATCTTTAGCCAGGAATCACATAATATTTCGGCTTAAGATGCTGTCGCCCCTATTCATATCCTTGAAAACCAAGGAGGATGAAGAGTCTGACAACAATTTTAATTCGAATTCCGTTTTGGTAGTAATAGACTCAACAATACAGTTGAGCCAGAAAATATTAGAAATTTGGTGTGGTCATATGGATGTCGTTGAGGCCGTTTGCTCCACCATGAGCAATGCCATCATCAGTTTAAGGATCAATGATTTGCCAAGGGTAACATCTAACATCTGTAGTTTAGTTGCATTCAGCTTTAAGATGCGCTGCTGTCCACCCACCTTGGAATTGTCGAAGGCGGTCATTCTCAAGTTCTACAAGAATGACGTGACTCGGCCAGTGATGAAAGAGCTCTTGAGAGAGTTTATCCATCAAGGATTCGTGGTTTTTGAGATTACTCCCGAGGAGAGCTACTCCGATATTGCGGATATAACTGGTAGTTTCTTCAAATATTTCGCGCAGATTATAAAAATGGCTCCAAATATCTTAATGGACAAAGAGCTGCCCTACAATAAGCTTCTTGCCTTTGCTTTACGAGGAATGTCGATGCAGGAGGGTGTTGCAATCCGCAGCAGTCTTGATTTTCTGGAAGAACTCGTACTGCATTCCCAAAGCTATGAGCACATCAAAGAGATCGTACTGGATACCATCGAACAGATCGTTTTCACCTCATTGATGTGTATTGGCTCGGTGTCACCGGCAAGCGAAGTGGAGAACTTTGTGGGTCTTTTCTTAGCCTTAAATCGAGAATATTCGCGGCATATGACCTGCGCTGTGTTTACCTTCTTTGCGAAACCAGACTTTCCTTACCCGCATCTTACGAAAATGGAAAGGATCATCCAAGGGATTCTAATAGTTGAAGAAGGCGACGATAGGGAACTGCTTCAGAAGTATATATGCGATATGGCCCTCAAAATGCGACGACTCGCCGAACAGTTGCACTGAAACAGTGCAGTGAAACTGTATCCAATTGTATTTAGCTTTTTATGAATGTTCCTTGGTTTACATCAAAATTTCTTGTTTACAATTTTCATTGCGGCATATACTGTCCAAATTTCAATATCGTATTCAAAATCGAAAATCGAGGATTTTACAAAGTTTAAAAGGCTACCAGGTAGTTATTCTTTTCATTTTACCAAAATGTATGAATTGTTTCCGGTTGTTGGTTTTGCAAGTTTAATCGTATTTTTCTTTTCCTGTTTCCGGTATGCTATAGCGGCACCTGAGCGGGCAGCTTGGCAAACCAGTAAGCGTAGACTTCAACCAGAGAGGATGCCTGCGCGGCAGTTCCTTTCAGCCAAGACTCGAATCAGGATTGTCTTGTATAACTTTTATGCGGTGCTAGCCTCGGCTGACTACATTGCTTGGGCTCAAACCGTTTTAGTCAGTTTCTAGGATCTAGAAAGAGTCCTTGCCTTATGGTGAAAGTCTTGCCTAACTAGAGAGCTAAAAAACCAACTTGTCCCACAGGTGGCTCTGCACACCTTACGGTGCATTCTGATAGATGGCGATTGTTAATATGATTAAATAAAAATTAAAATTATAGTAATTAACTAAAAGTGCTGATTTGATTACCCTCCCCCTGAAATAAAAGTCGCTGTATATTTATGTATATTTCGTAACAAATCGAAAATTGTTTTTATTACTTTTCTGATCAAAATCATACAACGTTGTCAATTCGTTCTGTTGATTACTCAATTATCGCATTATAATAATGTGTTTTGTTTATGTTTGGTTTTGTTTGTTTTTGTTTGTTTTGTATTTTTTTGTTTTGTTTTTTGGTTTTTCTTCGTTTTTTGTATTTTTTTTTCTTTTAATCTTGTTTGTTTGGTTTTTACTTGTTTGTTGCTTGCTTGTTTTCTTTAATAATAATTTATAATTATAATTTATAATTTATATAATAATATTTTATAATATTACTTGGTAATTTATTAATTCCCATCAACATGCCTCGCGGCCAGCAAAGTGGCCTCTACTCATTATCCTCCCTCCTGCCTGTCCCTTTGTGTTCTATTGCTTTCTTGCTTTCACTTTCACTTTCACTTTCACTTTCGTTTTGCCTTTTCTTTTCCATCTCGCTCTTTCTTCTTCGCCTCGTTTGTCTTTGCCTTTTTAATTTACTCTTTAATTTTAATGCATATGATTTTTGTTTCCGTTTCCGCATCCGCTTCAGCACCCACTTTAGCTTCCGCTTCCGCTTCTGCTTCTGTTTTTGCCATTTTAGTTTTCATATAATGCGCCTGCTGCAATATTTTTAGTTTTGTAAAATTAACTAATCGTAAAATGTGTGTGTGTGGGTGTTTGTATGTGTGTGTGTGTGTGTGTTTGTTTGTATGTTTGAGTGAGTGTATGTATACTGTATACTGATGTGGCTGTCAGCAGTCCGTCCATGGCTGTGGCTATTTACAAGTCAGCTCCGTTTTGGTGTCTTAAATGTTAAGTGTCCTCGCTGCCGCCTAGTACTCATCTCCTTCTTCTCTCTTTTATTGCATAGTATTATTAATATTTTGTAGCTTTTAGTACTGACGCATACCATATACATACATGCATATATATATGCTCCGATTCGAGTGTGGGTGTGTGGTGTGTGGTGTTTGGTGTGCCGTCCTGTCCGCCGTCCGTATCCGTGTTGCTGTGTATAATTTATTACTTAGATTGCTAAAAATTCACGTTTATATCCTCAATATAGGGGCTTCATATATGTGTGTATGCCATGTATTGTATATAGATTTGTTTTCCATTTCCTTATCCTTTTTTCACTTTTCCTTTTGCCTGTTTGTAATTGGTATAGACTAAAAAATTCTCGTCACTGTATGTTATGCATATAGTATGAGTGAGTGAGTGTGTGTGTGTGTGTGTGGTGTATATGTATGGCATCGCATCTGTGCAGCAATATCAACCAGATATCGGTGGATATATGCACACAGACGGGACCTATCCTGCGCTCCTCTCTCTGCCTGTTGGAAACTCTCATTCTCCTGCTGGTTTTATCGTTATCGTTATCTGTACCATTATCGTATATCGTTTACAGTTACCGCTATCGTTAATCGTTAATCGTTAATCGCTTCGTTTCGTTCCGATTTCGTTTCCATTTGCTATCAATAATAAATTGATTCCGATAATTAATTGTTATTTCGTATGTTACTTATATGGGGCCTTAAGAGTTAAGTACTGCTTACGTGTTCATTTGGATTACGATACGTTAACGCAAACGCTTACGTTTACGTTTACGCTTACGTTCTCATTTCGTTTCAAGTTTCAAGTGTCACTCATTTGAAAATTTATAAACTGAGGACGTTTCCTTGTTTGAGTGTACGTGTGTTTGTATGTGTGTATGGTGTGTGTGTGTGTGTTTGTTTTGTTTGAATGTGTGTGTGTATGTTTGTGTATGTATATATATATATATATGGGCAATATATATATACCTATATAGCTTCAAATTAAAGCTTTATTAACCATGCTCGCGTTTTGTTTTCGTATTAACAAAATTAAACGTTTCGTAATAATCGTACTCAAGACTCAATAATCGATAATCATAAATTACGATAACTGCACGTTATAACTAGTTAAATGTCCATTACCATGTATCATTTACCACATACCATTTATCATTTATCATTTATCCTTTATGCTTTATCATATATATCATTTATGCTTTATCATTTACCATTCACCATTTAGCATTACCTTTACCGTTAGCATTAAATACAAAAAAAAAAAAAATATGGTTGGATCTACATCGATTGTTAATCGATCTCCCCCAGTGACTAGTTGTATGCGGTATTTGTGAGTTATCGATAGGTCTGTATAACTGTATAATTATGCTATGTCCATATGCCTAGATATATCCGTGTATATATATAAGAGATACAAACTAGAAGTACGCTTAACGCCTAAAAGTATTCTCTAGACTCGGTCTGTGCCGCCAGCTCTTACATATATATCCTTCCTAATTAGCGGCTCCTTCGCTCCAGTGGTTGTGCATCCTGTGCCTGCGGTTGTGCTCCTGTGGTTCGGTTGTGGTTGCAATTGTAATTGTAATCGTAATTGTGGTTGTAACATCGATTGCTCGACTTCGATTTCATAATCGTTATCGTTTTCTTTATCGATTCGGGGTGTGTGAATATCTAGGGGTGGTGGTCTCTCGATAGGGATGGGGATGGAAAGTAATCGACGTCTTTCGTTGGATATGTGCGAGTGTCTCTAGTTAACGAACAAAATGTTATCAATTCGGGGGAAGCATCCGAAGGAGGGGCCAAATTGGCCATCTCTTTCTGTGCTGGGCTGGGAGTTCAGTTATCGGTTATCGAAGTAATCGGTTTAGTCTAATATTGCGTGTATAAGTTGCGTACTCCTTAACGGGTCTTTTTTTTAGTGTACAAATATGAATGCTTTAATCTGTTTTTTATTTATTTTTTTGTTTTGTTTTCCTTTGTTTGCCATTTGTTACTGCTTAAAATCTTTGTTTTACTTCAGTTCTTTTTGAATTTCATTTTTGTGTAGATTTGTTGTTCTCTGTCTGCCTCTGCTTCTGCATTTTGCTTTTCCTCTCCACCTGTCCGCCTCGTTCTCCAATATAATATATATATTCATAGTTTTAGTTGTTCGCTTCCCTTTGTATAAATATTCAATGCATTATTTAATAATTCCAATTTACCATTATTATTAATTATTTAGTATCCGTTAATCGTTATTAAGTGTAATCAAAATTCCTCTAGTTGAAGGCAATCGGCGAATATATTTGAAATTATTTATGCAATTATTTTACATACGTTTTGTTTCGATTTGATTTATACATTACATTACGTTGACTAAACTTAAGGTCTCGTGGAAAACAAGTTGAAATACAAATAGTTCCTTACTCTGAATGCTTTTCTACATAATTTGTCTAACCGCAAGCCAGCTAGCTATGGTAGCCTTTGCCTGCCCGAATGATTTCCTCTTTCCCACGTCATTTGGTTTCTTTTAGGTTTTCATTACGTTTGGTTTTTGTTTGGTTAAAAAGTCATCTGAATCTGGAAAACTTAGGTGTAATTTTGCTAAGGATGTCTCGCTCTACGTTTACCGACTAATCCACTTTTGTTATAAAACACTTCCTTCCGCTATGTGTATATGCCTGTATATACTATGTATGTATATAATATATAATATATATATATAATATATATATATATGTATGAGTACGACGAATGTATATGTATATGTCCTATGTACAGATCGTGTGGTGTGTGTGGCTGTGTTAAAAGTTAGGCTTACTCGTAGATACGTGGCTAAGTTGGTTGTCTTAGTAAAAAAAATTGTCGACTCCTGTATCCTCTATGTACACGCTTAGCTGCTTAGCTGGGTTGATCGCTCTCTCATACGGTCTCACTTGAAAATCACTTTAAGGCAGTTTCCTATACACTCCATCAGATGCTGCTTTGCTAACTCTGCTGCTGAATCCTGGTTGCCAAAACGAAACAAGTCGCTGCTGTCAATCATTCTGAAGCCTTGAGATCCCCGGGGGGCGTGGCAAGGGTGGCAAGGAGTCGCTATTCTTATGAACCGAGGAAACCCAAAAGGCTGAGGGGCTGGGCTGCAACTAACGATATTCGAGTGACTGATAGGAACCTGTTTCTTTTGAATTAAAATGAAAATGAATGGCTTAAATATTTACGCTAAGTTGGAAGACAGTAACTAAGGTGCTTCTTAAAAAGGGAAACAAAACAAACCAGCCACGCCCCACCTTACTCCGGCCTTGCCCCATTACGATATTTCCATTATCGATAATATAATCGATAATTCGAGGGTACTCTTCCGGACTCGCGATCTCGCTCAAAGTTGCCTGCTATCGCCTCTCACTAATTATTGTCTGCTATTTGTTCACACACACACAAATTGATATACGCTAAGTGCCTAAAGTAAGCCTGAACCGCAATCGGATATCGATATCGGATATGAGATATCGTTTATCGTGTATCGGGGCATCGGACATTGGTCGTCGGAAATCGAGAATCGGGTGAACGAAACGAAGGACTGGGGGAATCGAGACGAGGATCAAAGTCGAAGGCCAATTTCCTGCTGGCTTTGTGGATTTTCGATACGTTCTAGATTCGAGTTCGATTTTCGGTTTCGCGAGTCGGAAATATATATTCAGCAAATTTGTATAGTTGCTTAGTGCTATTAATTATTAATTGGGTGTTTACGTTAATGCTCGATTTGGTTCAGCTTCGTAAAAATTTGTCTGAGAATGTGAATTGGCAGTTTCAATTTGTAATGCAATATCTGTTCATTCGTTTTCGCTATCGTTATCGTTATCGTTATCGCTATCGCGTTCGTTTTCTTTTTTTTACAATTTTGATTCGATTAGTTTACAATTAAAAAATGCTTTCGCTTCCATATTTCGTCTAATAAAAGTTCTCACTATTCGATTCGATTCAGCTAGGGAATTCAACTAAATTGTATTTTATTCGTACCGTTGCGCTAATCACTCTTTTATTCGATTTAAAATATAAGTTACGTGTATTTCACCAATATGCTTCACTAATTGTTGCTTTTAGTTCGATTTTAGTTCGTTACATTGCGCATTTCGTTCTACGTTTTTCTTTTTTGAGCATTGAGAAATTGACTTTCTTCGTGCGGGTGCTGAGTTATATAGAGAGATAAAGATATAGATAAAAGAGAATGGGAATTGGAAAAGGAAGGGGATTGGGTGAGAGGGTGGAAAAGCTGTAGGAAAATCCAAATCCAAAATGAAACAAAACAAACAATGATATGTATACAAGTCTCGTTTTTTATTGCACAAATGAACAAACGAATGAGAAAGTACGTCTGAGTTATAAAACTAAAACCTTAACTTAGCCACCAAAGAATACATAATAATAATTATACATAAACAATATGGCAGAAGAAACCAGACCGGGAATCGGTGTACAGTGATAGGAAACCAACGAACAAACAAACAAACATTCAAACAAATGAACAAACCAACACAAACATTAAATGAGATTCATGGAAGCAGAGAAGTTGAAAAGTAGAAAGGTCTATTAATAAATTAGGAAATGAAGAAATTGTTCTTTTAATTAAAAAATTAATGTTAAGAAAAAGTTGGAATCAGGATGAGAGAGTTAGACAGAGAGAGTAGGAGAGAGAGAGAGAAAGAAGTGCTATACTGTGCTGTGTGGTGAAAAGTGGACAAAACTGGGCCGGAGGTGGTGAAACGTGGTGAGAAGTCATCGATCTGCCTGCTCGGCTTCCGCTTCCGCTTCCGCTATCGCTTCCATATTGGCTTCAGCTTCCGCTTCCGCTTCCGTTGTCGCCAGTGCTTATTGCTTCTAGGGTTGCGTCTATGAAATGTCCTTCTTAACTTCTAGTTTCAGCTAGTACAATTCGTATTCATCGATTTGGAGTAAATATTGCGGCAAATACTTTGAAAAATAAAGTTTTGCGTTTTGTTTGTTTGTTCATTTTCGTTTCATTTCATTTCGTTTCGTTTCGATTCGCCTTAGACTTGTTACGATATTTTACAATTGCTTTTAGTTGGAGTTACGAGTTACGAGTTACGCATTACGAGTTACGAGTTACGAGTTACGAGATACGAGAGATTCCATCTTGTGCTACACTAAGTATTCTTGGTTTCTGGTTTCTGGCTTCTGGCTTCCGGCTCATCCTTCCGGAAATGGCTTTTTGCCTAGCATGTAGATCATACGTATCGCTTTAACACTATCGACTAATGGCAATTTCCTTGTAATATGCTTACGTTTTGGTATGGTATTCCTTCGCTCCCTATAATTACAGTGTAAGTATCCTCGATATTTATACATTTGCTTTTCGTTTACCATTTCTTATTGCGAGTCTGTGTTTATGTTTGTGTTTGTGTTGTTTTTTGTGGTGTGTGTGTGATCCTTAACCTATTAATGCACGACAAAAAAAAAAACGCAGACAAAAATGGTTCAGTTTGAACTAGAATTACAATTACTTTACTTAGTTAGCTGTTAAAAAAAAATACACTAAAATTACTTATTACCATTTATTGTTATAATTATTGTTTTTTTGCCTCCTTCCCTTAGCTCGATAAACTTTTCCTACGCTTTCTTCCCACGCTCTCCTCCCTCCTATCGCCTTTCACTTTTCACTTTTCACTTGTCACTTTTCACTTTTCCTTGCTAATGCTGAGTTGATGGAAAAGTGCACTCAAATCAAACACAATTAAATGGCGGAGAATGTGTGAGGCTTGAATTCCAGGTGAGCAGGTTCATCGGCAATTCCTGATTCTGAGACAAAGGAACCTTTTTTTCTCTTTTGTGGGCCAATTCCTTTCGCTGTGGCATTGCAGGCGGCGGTCTACGACCCCTACCCCCCAGAGGGAAAGCCCCCCCCAAAGGAAAACCACCCGAAAACTCCCTCGAAGAAAATACCCCACCCTCCCTCGCTCAGCTTATACACTTAACTTTACTATTTTAATTTTGGTTTTATCCTCTTATCTGGTTGGCAGTGACAATTTGCTGTTAGATTCGCATCTCTCTGGCTTGGCTTTTCTGGCTGTGTCTGGTACGTCATTGGTCGTCCATTGCGGAAATAGAGACGGGTATAGTCCTGGATAGAGATGGCAGATGCAGAGAGGGAGAGATAGATAGATACGGGGGACTAAAGAAAGGGAAAACTTTTGAGGCATCTGTGACGGGGTTCTTGGTCCTTTGCTTGGGTCTTACGGAAATCAATTTGAGTGCTGGGATCAGTAGAGAATATATATATAGAATATGGATCGCAGGGATCACTGGGATCACACGATCGGAAACTGAGCGAAAGGTGCGCTTCAAAAAGTTTTCTGGACGGATATTACGATTTGTAGCACGTGATGAAGTCGTCGATCTATGGATGAGTGAGTCTCTGGCTTTGAGTTTTGTGAGTGGGTATCTGAGTATCGAGTATCTGAGTTCGGTTGATGGCTTTTTGGTTCGCTTTAGGGTCTAATGGGTGATGCTGGGCAGGAGGGAACCAGTGAGGGAGCTGTGGGGATTCACCTGCAATGCCGCCTGACCTTTTTTTTGTGGGGGAATCGAGTCGAGATCCAAACTAAAAACCCTGTCCTAGCTGGGCGCAGGACACCTTATCCGCTAACGCTAATTATCGGCAGTATTATTATCGTTATGATTACACTTGGTTTATTATGTGGCTAAGCATTCTCCCTTTCGGTTTCGGTCCCTACCCCCAATCCTCTACCTCCTTCTTTTCGCATTTTCCACTTTTCTCGGGTATTAGGCGTATTATCATAGAGAGAGAGAGAGAGTGAGTGAGTGAGTGAGAGAGAGAGAGTTGAGTATGCTCTATTATTAGTTGAGTTAATTGATTTATTCTGCGAATGTTTGCTGCTCTCCGTTTGCTGAATGATCGATAATAATATATATATATGCTTCATATACTATATATATGAATGTATGTATGTATGTTTGTGTGTGTGGCTGTATTTAAAACATTTCCGTTTCCGTTTCCGGTTCCTGTCTCGGTCTGTCTTTGTTCATTGGGTGTTTTTGTCTGTCAGTTGTTTTCGGTTATATAATGATGCGCGCTATAGTTTCCATGTAATTAAACTATGTAAATGTATCTTTGCTTTCGTTTTTGTTTTGTTTTTACTTTCGTTTCTTTTTGTTTTTTGTTTATTATTTTCATTCATACTTTTGTTTCGGTTTTTCGGTTTTTTTCGGTATGGTATTTTCTGAACTTTCTTGATATTTACTGATATTTTCTGTTCGTTTCGTCTCGGTTTATCATTAATCTCTGTTTTGTTTCTTTGCTTTCTTTTTCTCCTCTACCTGCTCACATTTCTGTTATCTTTTCGGTTTTCCTTCCTTCTGTATACAAAAATTGTGTTTTGCATTTTTTTGGTTTTCATTTTTTTTCTTTTATGTTTTTTAGTTGTTGTTTTGTTTTTTTGCTTTGTTCATTTGTTTAGCGAGTAATACAAATGCTTAGAGTTAGAAAAAAAAATTGTTTATATATATATAATATATATAATATATATATATATTTCGATTTATATATATACTTTTATATACGTCGAATTATTTGTATGCTTGACTTAGTTAACCTACATTCGAATACATGAACACTTCAAGATATCATTGTAATAAGTAATTTAATTTAATTTAATTGAATTTAATTTAATTAAACTGTTACTTTTACGCTTCTGCCTTAGCATCTCCTCATCCGATTCTCTTGACTTGCTTTCCTCTCTGCTGTGCCTCGGGGTGCTTGGGGAGAAGTGAAAGCGGGAAAAGAGGTTTTCCGCCTCACTTCTCCCCAATTTTCCCGGCTTTCGTGGTGTTGTTGCTGCTGCATCGTTTATGCATCTCCTGCCTTCTGCTTCTTCTTCGTGGTGATAGTGATGCTGATGTTGACTTTCAGAAATTCTATTCGATTTTCTTCGATTTTCTTTTCTTTTTTTTTTGGGGTAATACAGAAATGCAATTTTCCGCGGGCGTCGTCTCGACTTTGTTGATGTTTGGTTTTAGTTAACGCTGCATGACAAGCAAAGTGCGGTGCGGTGTGTGTGTGTGTGTGTTTGTTTGAGTGTGTGTGTTGTCTCGATATCGATATCGCTTTTGAAATCGATATCTTTATCGTTTTGCGTGTGCGTTCTACGGGGCGTATGGGTAATGTCGCCGCTTGGCGTGGCGTATGAGTGATGTCGCTGTAAGCGTGTGATGTGTCGTCTGTGCTCCTGTCTCCGTCTCCGTTTCCGTTTCCGTTTCCGTTTCGGTTGGTGTCCTGTTGTCGCTGTTCGCTGTTCTCCGTTCTCCTCACACTTTGACCTTGTCCTTTGGGGCAACTTTCCTATGGTTACGCTGATCGCTGACCTGTTGTAAGCCTTTGTGCGATCCCTTTTGATGACTTGTGACCTTGTGACCTTTGACCGACAGCGGGTGCCAAGCGCCACCGATCGTCGGGTCCTGACCGGAAGTCCCTTGTGGCCGGAACTTCACGTTGTTAACCTGCTCTTCTGCTCCTTCGGTTCGATTCCTTAATTGATTGATCTTAATACAAAAATGACGTTCGTTTTGTGTGGATTGTTGTTTTTCCTATTTTCCTCCATGTTTCCTCATTGCTTCCGTCCGCTTCCATTTCGCTGTTGCTTTAGTTGTTGTTGTTGTTGTTGTTTATCTGGATGTTGTTATCGGTATCGACTATCGATAGGTCTCCGGTCCGTTCCTTTTTTTTTCCTCGTGACACATTAAATATGCTTGATTTTTATGACTGACTGACTGCGCTGACGATAGTTTTTTTGGTTGTATTTTTAAGATACGTTTTTTTTAAAGATTTTTAGCGGTGTTGTGTGGTTTTAATTGTTTTTTTTTTCAATGAAGCGGCTGCTGCGAAGATCTCTAGATTTCTTGTGGTTGTATTTAGTCTTGTTCTTGTTGTTGTTTTTAGTTGAGTTTGAGATGGTATTCAAATGGAGACGACAAATTGCATTTTGTATTGTTTCTAATACTCCCAATATCATGCATCCTGTATTTCACCTTTTAAGCCAGGCACCCTGTGGTGTTGGTTATGTCCTAAACGATTCGCTAAGTCCTGTACAACATCACGAAATATAACTGTATCTATGTTTTCACCTAGTAAATACAACAAAAACCAATCGCCCATCTTCGAACGACGAACGATTATTTCAATAGCGTCACGACGCACTAACCTGTAAAAATCGAAAAAAGAAAGGATCAGTACATTTGTGAAGGATAAACATATGTGATGGGATATTTCAGATATCTGAAGGGGTAACAAGGTACCTTTAAGCTGTTTTTTCATTCATGCAATTAAAGCTTTATAAAGGAAATTGGTTAATAAAACCTATGATCCTTGTAACCCTTTCAGATCTCTTAAAATACCCTTCTTTAGAGCAGTTCAAAACTCACCTAAATCGCATACGAAATAAGTAGACCCTCATTCGAGGTGAGAATATAATAACCACCCTGTATATTAGCGTTAATAATGTGAGAAACGTTAATAAGATAAACCAAAACCAAAGGAAAATGTAAATTTTCTCATTAACAACGTTTAATGGTAAAATGCAAATGGCGTCGTGTTTCTCCACCTAAAAGAATTACAATTACGAAAAAAAAACAAGGGTTTTAAGAGGTTATTAAGTGTGGTGCGAAAAATTGAATGAGTCGAGTGATTACTCACCTCCCCACTTGAACCATATTTAAAAAATGTACATTTGGTCATTCTGGGAAATATGTAAATCATCGGATCCATGCGATCTTCCTGATCGGTCTCCATATAATCTATCACATCCAGGCCAAATGTCATAAATTCGCCATCGAAAAATCGATTCATAAGAAACATTTGACCTGCAAAGAGCCAGAGAGAAGAGATACAAATCAGCCACAACAGATACGGGGATACGGGATACAGAGATCGGAGATCGAAGATCGAAGTTTGGAGTTATTTTTCGATCTGTTTACCCGAAGGCCTAATTGATGGTTTCGGTTCACTGCTGGCTCCGATTTTCCATCTCCGTCTCTTTGTTTTACATTTCCCATTCTCCAATCTAGATTTTCCACCCTCCTCATGATCCCATTTTTTTACATTCTCCATTTTCCAGCTTTGTGCTTTTGGAAAATTCGGCGTTAAGAATCGCCTAATGACTCGATCCGCCTGATCGATCGAAACGCTTCGGTTGTAAATGAGGCGGCAATGAATCGATTTACTTTACAATTACGATACACCGTGTGCCCAATTAATTATGTCTGATAAACCCAAACCGTATCGAAATCGGATTCGGAATCGACACCCAAATCCATCAATTGTTCGCACTAATTGCGGCTAATTGAGGGGGCCGAGATGGAGGTCAATGAACAAACAATCAGAGATCACAGATCGGGAGATCAGAGATCAGGTACATTAACTTTTATGGCAGCGATGAAAACAAGATTCCGCGAACTGTGTCCCGAGGTATATACATATATTCGCAAAAAAAAACACACAGAAAAAACATGAACACTTAAAAAATAACCATTCGATTTATGCTGCCCATAGAAGCACTAAAAATATTTAACGATCACTTCTTGCCAAAGTATAAGGTTGGTAATTATTTGCATAATAAACTACCGAGTTGCTTTTATTCGCCTTTTGAGTGGCTAAAAATAAAGCTATTTAGCAAAAGAGGAAATCTTTTTGCAATAAACCCAAGAGCAAAGCTATGCATTTAAGAGAGCTTCATATTTCTGGTATTTATTAATAATATTGAAATATTTTCAATGGAATAATATATACTGCAACGTACGTTTTTAAATGAAATTAAATTAAGATTTGCTTGGTATTTTGAAAAGATTGTAAGCTTATTGAAAGAGGAAATTTAACTAAGCTAATCATATTTTTGTACTTTTTTAATTTCAAAATAAGCTATCTTTTTGTATCTTTGAGATACTTTAAGTTAATTTGCAAAAATGTTACATTTAGGTATGAAAAACTGATTAAATTTAATAAATTAATCGCGTTAAGGGTATAAAATGTGCTTTAACAATTTTGTGAGATTAAATAGTGAATGTTTTTAAACAAATAATAATATCCTATGACTGCTAAGATTATATTTTCTTACAATAAAAATTAAAAGCAACTCAAAGCATAGTTTTTCAATCAAATTTTCGTTAAGCTTTAAGAAAAACTATCGATTTCTTCTATGAAAAAATTCTCATGAAATATGCAGCAACATTTTCATAGTTCAGAGTTACAAATCTGAGAAAATGGACTCTGAAAAATCTTGAGCTGAATGCATTTCGATAAACGAATATTCCATGGACTAATTGATCCATTTCTAAACTTTGGCAATTTCTCAACGATCGCCCCTCGCAGTCGTCGAACTCGTCGCCTCTAGATGTCAGCCATTTTATAAACGCGTATTACTCGCATTATTATTGTTTATTTCTCGTGTTTTCTGACAGTTCATTATTTTGTCAGATTCCGGACGAGGGGACCCCGAAACGCGGCAGGGTGTTTATTTTGATGCGGGTCGGTCAGTCGATAAAAATTCGTCATTGATTTTTTTTCGGCAGAAAATTGGAAGATCGGAAAATTGGGAAAATCGGAATGGGGGAATGTTAATGAATCGCAGATTTATGTTACCCCCGTTTTGTTAACCCCGAAACATTGTTTACCAAATCCCGCTGGCACCTGGCGAAGTCAGGGGGGCGTTCGTACACCGTAAAAAAAAACCAGATGAAGCCAAGAAGCGAAGCAAAGCGAATATGATATTTCATATGATTATTGGTGAAACCGATATGACACACAAAATTTGAGGTGCTGTGTGTTGTGTGTGATTGTTCAAAAGCCTGATTCCACTGACACATATTTCTACATCCCGACCTAATGTACATTTACATTTTACCTGAGCGTCGCCCCACACTCGAACAAAAAGGGGGGTTAAACCAATTTAATATAGGACACAACTCCGACTACATTCGACTCCATCACCCCGAACGTCTTCGTCATCATAGGAAGTATATGATTGATCGAGATGATGGAGAAATATGTGTCAGGAGAAGGATCACATCAAGGATGTAGGATCAAGGTGGTAGGGACACCCTATCGCCTTGATCCTACATATCCGATTCAATTATAGAAATATATATATATATATATATATATATATTCTCTATGGGCACTCACCTATCACATTTATAAGGGCGAGCAGCTCACATACGTAATATCTGTACGCCCACCAATTGTGATATCTGAAATGGAAAGCGGAAGGAAGAAAGGGGAGTGGCATCCATTAGTGAGTGGTAGTGGTGATTCATAGGATTGTAAATAAATATTGCAAATGCCAAAATGTTTGCCTCTAATTTCCCTTTTGTCTCTGGAGAACTTTGACTCGTGACTCACATTTCCGGAGAAGCGTCTCTCCTAAACGGAAATGATTCTTCGTGGAAATGAACTCTGCCATTTTTACTGGCTAATTGTTACCGCAAATTAATTGGAAAGCCTTTAATAAATTGAATACTTCTGCGAATTGTTACAGTTCGATGCGGTTAAGTTAAACAAACATTTTGGCAGAATAAAGCAGTAAAAGCAGGAGTTGAGATGATCAGTATAAATATTATTGTGAATCAAGTATTTATTTATTTATTTTAGGAGATGATTGAAACTTTACTGGAAACACTTTGTATTTATTTAATCAACTTATTATCATTAAGCAAACACAATTTCTAGTTGATTTAGATATCTTGGGTTGTCTTTTCTTTGCCAATAAATGTCGCAAGTCATAATGAAAAATACATTTTTCTCTTCGAGTATTTAAAAACTACAAAATATGTGTACCAATAAAAACTTTATAGACTTCCGTCTCAACTTGTTTAAATTTATTCACAAGCATCTCATTATGTTTCATAATTTATAGTGTTAACTTTGTTAGGCTTTAATTTGATAATGAAATCGGTACTTACCTTAAATTTTCCCACAAATAATCTAAAAGTAATTTCTTTTTTTGTTTTTTCTCGGCTTCGGAACAAATGCCTATGTCTAAGTCCATGATGAGCGCATGAATCTTGCCACCCTCCCAAGATTTCCACAGCCATCTTGGTGTATAAAATAAGATTGCCTGCGAAATGAAAGAAACAGAAACGAGGATATAGTGGCAGTGGTAGTACATGCTTGTATTTATTTGTATTTATAGAGAGAGAATGAGAGAGATCTGCAAAGGTGAGTTCCGTGTGGGCGTAATGTCGCATTGGAACTGTCGTAAAACCGAGGAGGGGAAATTCAGAAGGCAAAGAAAAGCACCGGAAAAATACCCCATGACAAGTGACATTTGCCAGCTGTTTCTCCCTCCAATCGCAGATTCCAGTCGCCGCGAAAAACAATGCCAGACTATAGCCTATGGGCATTAGTGACTGACCTTCGCCCAGCGGACATAATTGTCTTTGCTAATTCCTAACCCATTCCACAATCCAAGATATTCCGGCCCGGTCTCGGTCCCTCCCTATTTATAGAGCGATGTCAATTAGCCGTGAGCCATTAGGGGGCCAGGCTATCGTTCGGGTTTACCTACCACAATGCGGCAATATGGCAATATGGCAATACGAGTACCAGGCTATCCGAAAGACAGACAGGCAGACACGGATTCTTGCTTAATTGTACCCATTAGATGGTTAGCAGAGGGGTATATCAGTTGGTTTGTGTGATAAGTCACAGTAAAAGGTTAAAAAAATACTAATAGTTATAAAGTATGTACCATGCTTTACTATACTATACCGTATTATACTATTCTATATTACACACAACTATACTATCCTAAACTTCATATACTATACAAAACTATACTCTACTGATTTATACTATACCAAAGTATACTATCCTAAACTATACTATAATGAACTATAATATACTGTTCTTTACCTCCCTTTTTATATGTACCATAGTTTTTATATTTTCTAATCGTTCTATAAGGGATTTATAAGTTCATAAGATCAAGAGCTTTGTTTATTTATTTAATATCAGAATTTAGTAAAATATGACTGCCATTTGTTTGCTTTCAAATAGTTTAATTGAACTTAAAAATATTCTTTTGATCAAATATTATATTATATATTACATTCCTCGTTTAAATTTCATAATGTGTCTTAAAACAAAAATTTTTAATAGTAGTATAAAATTATTTCAGGGCTTTCTTATTTATCTTATTTTAATGATAATTTTATAATTATAATTATTAATACTTCCGAGGTTTATTTATTTTGTATAAAAATAAAGAAGAAATTGGGTGGAATTTAATTGCTCTTCACTGTTTTTATTAAATTTGAACCATATTCGTACTTTAAACTTTAAAGTTTATCTTAAAACGAATACTTTTATTCGTAAAATTTATTGATTTTTTGTAGAATGTCTAGTGGTTTATTAATAATCTTATTTTAATTATAATTTCATATTAAGCTATTATTATTAATACTCCCATGGTTATTTATTTCAGAATAAAGTAGAATTTGGGTGGAATTTAATTGATCTTTACTATTTTTATAATATTTGAACCATATTTGTACTTTATACTTTAAAGTTTGTCTTAAAACGTATACTTTCATTAGTAAAATTGATTGCTTTTTGTAGAATGTCTAGCGGATCATTAATAATCTTATTTCAATTATATTTTTATTATTATTATATTATTTTTATTTTTTAATTTTATTATTATTATAATTATAATTATTATTATAATTAATACTCCCAAGGTATTCAAAAGTACCACATCACAACCCAATCACTCTCCGCTCTTTATAAGTCCGTCTGTATTTTTCTTTTGTCGGGTGGATTTTAATGCCCGACCCGATGACAAATTAATAATAACTTGTATCGTAAATTAGTCGAGGGGGGATTCGGATTTGGAATGTCAGGCATAAGACCATCTGAGCATTGGACCATCAGACCATCAGACCATCGGACCATTGGATCTTCAGACAGCTGGGGATTGGATGTTGTGCAAATTGTGTGTTTGCTTTGGCACATGACAATGTCGCCCCATCATCACCGATTCGGAGCGTCTTGTCTGAGTCCCTGGCAGGTGGTAATCCCCATTTCTTATTTCTTATTTGCCTGAGGTGAGAGTTCAGCTTGTTTAGTGGGCGCCCAACTGGCGGCTGTCCGTCAATTGCTTAAAAAGAATATATATATATATGAATTTAAATGGCCACGGCTTAATGCTGCCTCTTTATATACATATTTATTCAACTTAAATATATAATCGCCATGGAAGGTTCATGCCACCCCCTGATTTTTTTCGGACTCACAAATATTTCTCCACATGCGCCACCGATCGTGCCTCGTAGTTTGCATTTGTTTGGGGAATTTTTCAATTTATTTTGTGGGTTTGTGGGGGGCTGCAACAGCCCTATGAATTCCAAACAATTTGCCATTGTCGCTGGCATTTGGCTCTAATTGGCCCAAACAACATCTGCGGCATATTCTATCGTCTAATGACGGCAATCGTTACCCACACAAATAGTTTTGGCCAAAATACTGAGGGTTTGAAGTGTCTCCACTAGGTTTCTTTTTTTAATTGAAAGATGGGGAAACTTATTTCAGTACATCCTGTTTCAGCAAATATTAAATGATCAATATTTCTTAAGTATTTTCAATTAATTAAAAGATACTAAAAGTTGTAGCATGACTGTGTTTTTGTATGAAATCTATTGCCACGCCTTGCCGGAAGCCAAATGATGCGTTTGATTCGCTTTTGGCCTCCATCGGTTGCATCTGCCCTTTTGTGTACACAATTGCCAATTGCATTTCCCTGACGACAGCCCGAATGAGGAAGAGAAATGCCCGACCCAGAAGGGTGGCATTCCCGCCCCCACGTTTCGTTCATTTTCCGCCGATATTCTGACCAGATTTTCCCCCTCTGCTCCTGGTATGGGTGCGTGTGTGGAAAGCCATTTGGCACGCGTTCAAATCGTAGCAAAAGCATCGCATAAATGCAACTGCAACCGGCAAGGGGGAACACAATCAAAGGGAAAGCCGAAGGAAAAAGTCAAGTGAAAGCCACAGTAATCTCTGAAGAATCTTCGGAGAATTCTTCACAGGGCAGACTCCAGGCACAGTGAGTAGGTTCTCATCAAAAATTACTACATTTCATATGAAATTTTGAGGAAAATTGGGAGGATATTCTGGAACAATATTGGTATTCTAAAGATCATTGAATTATTTCATATTAATAGTTATACTAATTTCCATTAAGATCGCAATATTGAATCAAAAAATGGTATTATAATTTCAGTCTGAAGCTTAAAACGAAGTGAAGGAATCATTTCCGACCCTATATTCCATATATATTCTCGATCAGCATTAACAGGCGAATCTTTCTAGCTATAAAGGAGAGAACCAAATTTTTGAAAATATTTTTCCACAATTTTTGAGACGTTTTTTCATTATTAACATATTGAAAAAAGGAAAAAATTTGGAATAGTTTAAAAGTGTAATTTAGGTATGCAGTTTTATTAACCTATTTAAAACTAGAACAGAACAGCTTTCCGAATCGAAATTAAGGGATTTTTGGCTGAGTTATGAGTTTTTTAAGTTTTGATATGTAGAATAAAATATATAAAACTATCGCAATATTGACTCAAAAAACGATATTATAATTTCAGTCTAAAGCTTTAAACTAAGTGAAGGAATCATTTCCGACCCTATATTCCATATATATTTTTGATCAGCATTAACAGGCGAATCTTTCTAGCTATAAAGGAGAGAACCAAATTTTTGAAAATATTTTTCCACAATTTTTTGAAACGTTTTTTCATTATTAACATATTGAAAAAAGGACAAAATTTGAAATTGTTTAAAAGCGTAATTTATGTATGCAGTTTTATTAACCTATTAAAAACTAGAACAGAACAGCTTTCCGAATCGAAATTAAGGGATTTTTGGCTGAGTTATGAGTTTTTTAAGTTTTGATATGTAGAATAAAATATATAAAACTATCGCAATATTGACTCAAAAAACGATATTATAATTTCAGTCTAAAGCTTAAAACTAAGTGAAGGAATCATTTCCGACCCTATATTCCATATATATTTTTGATCAGCATTAACAGGCGAATCTTTCTAGCTATAAAGGAGAGAACCAAATTTTTGAAAATATTTTTCCACAATTTTTTGAAACGTTTTTTCATTATTAACATATTGAAAAAAGGACAAAATTTGAAATTGTTTAAAAGCGTAATTTATGTATGCAGTTTTATTAACCTATTAAAAACTAGAACAGAACAGCTTTCCGAATCGAAATTAAGGGATTTTTGGCTGAGTTATGAGTTTTTTAAGTTTTGATATGTAGAATAAAATATATAAAACTATCGCAATATTGACTCAAAAAACGATATTATAATTTCAGTCTAAAGCTTGAAACTAAGTGAAGGAATCATTTCCGACCCTATATTCCTTATATATTCTTGATCAGCTTTAAAAGCCAAGTAAATCTAGCTATCTTTGGAGGATAACAAATTTTGTTTAATTTTTAAAAATTTATAAGGGGTTTCATCGTTAAAATTGTCAAAAATTGATACATTTAAACATTTTTTTTTATTATATTATACTATTATATTTGGTAGGCAGATTTATTAATCCACTAAAAACTAACACAAAACTTCTTTCCGAACTGAAATTAATGCTCTTTTGGCTTAGTAATGCGATTTTTTAAACAACGATTTGTCATAAAAATGTATTGATAAATATCGATTCAAAGAAAAAGATTAGTTATGATTCATTTCCATTCCATTTTATAATTCAATTACAAACTACAAGGATATATGGTTTCCTGAAGCTTGTTTCCTTACTTTTTCCGTATGAAATTTCCTTACAATTTCTTTTCAATTCCCTTCGTTCTTTTCCATACAATTTCCCTAATTTTTCCCTATACAATTTGAATTGCAATCACTGTGCCTAGGAAGTGTCTGATCCCATCTGATCCAATCTGTCACTCCCCCAAGCGACGCCGTCCGTCTATATTTCTCTGGCCCCAAAACTGAAACCCGAGGGGAGGCCAAAAATACTCGCACGTAAGTCAAATATAAACAGATCCCACTCCATGGGACCTTTGGTCAAATGCTATTCCCTA